ATCTCCTGCCACTTGTAAATTGGCTCCTGGATCTTCCTCATACAGTTTGTGTGTGGTCAGCTGAATCCTGCAAGTAGACAATGCCTTATTGTGAGAGGAAACAGTTTTCTGCTGCCTTGAAGAGGCTCCCATATCTTAAGAAAATCCCCCTGGATCCAACTGTGTGAGATAACCATTATTTTTATTTTTAGATAGGTTTCTTGAAGCTATGATGAGAAGACAGAAACATAGCATATTAGAAGAAAGGAATTATTTGGATCCTTTTTGGACAATTTTTGAAATGATTTTAAAAACAGCTTTATATTAAACAGTTTGTAGTAATTCATACATGTGATCTTGCAAGCATGACTTGGTTTTTAGAGCCATCTGGTAAAATTGAAACTTGTATCTAAAGGGTACAGTTTCCACCAGCAATCCCAGTAGTAGCTGGCTCTAGGACCATCTAGGAACACACAAAGGTTAGGGACCTGCTCTGTAAGGTCACTCCCATCCTTTCATGAATGCAATACCAGAGTTGACTGAGAACATACAAACAGACATTTCAAAAATTGTAGTTTGTACAAAAATGAAGTGATTCACATGCTAATTGGCATTAGTTAAATTCCAATGAACATACTATACTTACACTGCAAGTCATGAATTGGCTGCCTGTAATTGAAAAAGCTGATTTTTACTCCTAAAGCCCTATATAGCTTGGTGTCAAGATAACAGGGTTGGATGCTCCTGAAAATTGTTTCAGTCTAAATAAACACATAAGCATTCCTGTGCATAGATTATAAATTAGAAAATCAAAACTGCATGTGTTGTACTTGGTTCAATCATTGCACCATTGTTATCCCTTATAGAAAAAGCATATTTCTCTATATTCAGATGTCTGTCACATGCACTGAATGACAGTCTTTTTAGTATCCAACATATTCTCAGCATTCATTTGACATACAGTATCCCATATATGATGCTGTTGCCACAGCTGCTATGATTTATCCTATAACAGCTACAGGATGGGATGAAATTGAGATGCTAAATTATAGGTTTTCTGTGCAGAAGTAGTAGAAATGTCATATTAAGTTTTAATTTTCTTAGTAGTCCCTGGTTTTATTGCATGAAACCATGAATGCACGAGTGGGACCATACATATGAGTTCCACTAAATTATTTCCAGACTTGTTGGTTTGTCTTTGACATCACTAAGTGTGAAGATTTGGAGACAAATGTTGGAAGCATGCTTGGCTCATTAAAGTTCCTAATAATTTAGAAGGATTCTAAATGTGCTTGGTTGAAAATGTTTAACAACCCTTTAGGGGCCTGCTTGTTCAATGTGAGGCAGTTCAGAATAGGGACAGCATCTGCAAAGACAATGAAGGAGGCCTTCAAGTGCAATTCAGTTCCTCCTACTTGAGTTCAGGCAATAATTCCTCAAAAGAGCTAGTGTGAAATCAATTAGCTAACAATGTGGCTGAAGATGAAACTATTAGTTTAGGATAATCTAAATCCTCTGTCTTGTTGCATGTAGCGTTTCCCCTCCCCTTAATTTGTGTGCCATTCAAACACTGACTCTGCCGAGACGCCTGTGTTCTAATAAACTGTGAGGAAAGAATAAACCCACTGTGTTAATAATGGGACCAATTAAGAAATTAAGTCATCATTAGAAGAGTTCCACTGAGGAATCTGAGGGTAGTGTCTGGGGTGGGTAAGGGGTTAAACCACAAAGTATTAGGCTCTCCTTGAACAGAATAAACCATTGACAGGAGCACAACACTGAGACCATTTGTAAAGATTATAAAGAGTGCCAGTTGAAAATAACTAATCTTGTGATATACAGGAAATCCTCCCCAAACAAAAACAAATGAAAAAAACTGGAGTTTCAGAAAGATGAAATTATTTTCTAATAATTACGAAAGCAGAAAAAATATAATTAAAACAAAAATTAAGAATATGACGAGGAGGTTGAAAGCTGCCAAGATGTCAAACCAGTGATATCCATGGCAAGCTGCCAACAGATGCTATACTCATTGAATATTGATGAAATAATTGTTACAAAAACATCAGTTGTACAATTACATATTTAGAGACATAACATCTTGGTGCAACCCGAGAATATGGCACCTGGGACTGAAGACTGATTAAGATAGTAGTTTATTCCCTATATTGTTGATGAAAAGGAACATAGGAGTGTGAGCAGAGACGATCATAATAATGAGGGCTAAAAGGTTCCTGACATGGGAAAAAAGAGATTGATAATAATGAATGAACAGTGACAGAAATGTATTAATTTTTAATAGCTGTTGAGATGTGACATAAATGAGGCAGGATAATATCATGAACCTTGTTTTTAAAAGCCATCCATTTGCATATCAAAGGAAGATGTGTAATTTGTGTATGTCAATGGCAAATGTATCCTCTGAACACATACCATTATGTAGCAAGAATTGCATAATCCTCATGGAAAAAAGAATTGAGTATCATGGGAAACATCATGACTTGCTGGTTGAAATCTAAATAGGAATATTGGACGTTGCAACATTTTGCACAGTTGTTATTGCCAGAATAGAAAATCATGTTTTAAAGTGGTAGTTGTGTGGTTTATATTGATATGGTGTATGATATCATCAGAATTTCTCAGCCCTAGATTAACTGGGTCAGTCTTTCCCAACCAAGGTTTTGTCCCAGAGCCTAGAGACCATGGATGGTGGGAAAATAGCCTTTGGATCTATTGTAGCAAGACCAAATGACTATGGACTTTAATGCCAATCAGATAACTTTACCGTGGTTCCTGATTGATGACCAGATGGCAACCATGGTTATGATGACCTTTGCACAGTTTATCTTGCATATTAATTGTGCCTAATTACTGAATGGAAGGTCTTGTTGACTCGCATCTAAGTTGCCTACCATTAATATTACTAGTTCAGAACACAGCAATGTAGACAGGTTTGGCATATCCTGTAATACAAATACCATATTACCAGTCTGCTAGCTGCAGTAACTTCCAGTTGGTTTCTGAGCTGTCCTAAGGTGCTGGCTATCACAAATAAACTCTTAAATGGCATAGAGAAAGATAATATTCTTACTTTAAAAAAAGACAATGGTAGAAATTCAATTATGTAAAAACATAAAAAGAGCCCTGGACTAGATTGAGTATAGCATTTAGTGTCACACAATAACAAACCTGAGGCATTGAGAGAGGTCACAAATATGGAAGGGATGGTAACTTCAGTTTATTATTATTGTTGCCTTGTATTTAAAGTATGCTTCCTATAATCATATATTATTATCAAGACCCCTTGTCATTGATACCTGATTCTCCATGTTTTTATTCAGATCCTTTTAAAACATCTTCATTGAAAATTATTACCACAGTTTTTGCTACAGTTCAAAAAAAGAAACTACATCAAAGTACAGAAAAAATTCAGCACAAAAAAATGTTTTGTTTTCATTCTTGAACAAAGATTCTGATGTATCTAAATGGCGAAATACATACATCTACAATATTAAATCTAACTGAAACAATTAAGATTTATTTCATTGTTCAATCTAAATGCCTTATAAATAATGCCTAAAATAATTACTTCAAAAATCTTGTAGCATCACAGACAACATGGCTTATTCCCTACATAGAAATAATTATTATAATTCTGAAAAATCTTATTATTCTTTAAGGGAAAGTTATGCAATTAAATCTAAATGCGCAAAAGAAATGCACAAGTAACCTCAGTTATTTACATATATTATTTTATTAATAATTTTAAATAGTAAATATTTTAATGACAAAACACCATTATAATGCTATCATGAAGGAATTGCTACGTTTAATGAAAGTAGACTCTTCACTACAATTTATTTGGGCTATATTTTTATAGACATAATTTCTACAAAAAGAGTGTTCTCTCTCTCTCTATTCCACATCATTTCTTCCAAATCCATTACATTATCATAGGAAAAACATGGACGACTTTCAAACACTATTTTTGTGTTAGTAAGCCAATTTTAAAGTGCTTTCTTGTATATTATTGGATGACTAAAACAAAAACCAAACAAAAACACAGTATTTGCATTGAAAGTATAGCAATTAAAATTTCCACTGCAGCACCTGGCTGCAGTTTAATTTGGACTAATTTGAAATGCAAACAATTTACTTAAAGCATTTATTAAATTAAAAACAAATCTTGTTGAACAAAGAGAAATGAACATTGTGCAAGAGTTGTTGCACTAAACTTTAACAAATAATTGCTTTAATTAAATATCATTTAACTGCAACCTTACTTAAAATTAAGAACTTGCTGTCCTAGAATTCTAATCCTAAAAAGCAACATTTTTTTAGTTCAAACTTACTTTAAATTATTCAAATTTTTTTAAAAAGAAAAAAGAGGGACCATATCTTTCAAAGAATACGAACAAACAAACAAACACACAAACTAACATCCCAGAGACAATGGAAGAATGATCTTATGGTAAACTTTAAACATTTTAAATAGTGACAATAGCTTTGTGTACTCTACATACTTGTCTCACAACATTCAAATTTATAAAGTTAGTAGCAATGCTATTGAATCTTATATTTCAAAGTTCTTAAATCAAAGTGGTCTTATTGGTAGTTCTTATGTCTAAGATTAAATCATCAAAGTTAAAAGAATACATTTTCTTAACTTACGAAAGACACAAACAGGAGTTGTTGATGTTTCTCATCTTTAATATATCTGATCTCTTCTTGTGATTATGATTTAAAATTAACTAATGGCTAGTGTTAATAAATGAAATTTATAATGCATGCTTGACTAGCTTAAAAATCAAATTATAGTCTATGAATGGATGGGAGGTCGCAGTTAACTAAATTTGAGAGCAAAACCCTCTGCTGAAGAGGATAAGTCTAGGTCTTGGAAGGAGTAAGGCTTATTCACATTGAGTTCAACCATGGTTTATGTTGATATATAGATAATTGCATAGACAACCCAGCTTTGGTGAACTTTATAAGTGCATATAAGCAAAAATTAATAGCCCTACCTTTTGTGTAGCTTTTATCACCTGATCCTTGGCATCCATCTTCATCATCACAGTCTCCACTGGATTCTGTCTCTTTGCTCATTCCATTCCCACTGCTGCCTTCCCTGTCAATCCAACTTTCGGACTGTAAACTTGTGTGGGCTGCCAGCTACAATGCAAAATATTGGCAAAGGTATTCAGATTGGTAGGGGGAGAAATGTAAGCGCTTTTAAAAAATCATTCCTCAGTTTTCCCACTGTAGAATTGGTAGTTTAATATAAATTCATTAAAGCAATATGAAGTACTAAATGGAAGATAGAGCATTACTAATGAGTTTTTTTATTGAAACTCAAGGCATTTCATTAGGCACATGTCTGCACACATAGTCTTATTTTCTAATATCAGTCTTTTGAGCATGTTGGTTCTTTTACAGCTATTAGATTTTATTTTCAATACCACTGATTCCAGAACATCTCAATTGGCTATCAACTGCCATGTTTCCTATCTTTAGTTATTTACAGGTTTTTCATTCACATTGTATCTTATTACCTCCAGTAGCTGAGCTACTAGCTCTATACCTCTTAATAATACTTGCTGGGAAATACAAGTTAGAAATTGCTATTGTGTCAAGTTTTGAGGATAGTAGTCCCTTAACAAGAGTTACTAGACTTCTGGCAATGTATCCTCAATTGTATCCTCATGTCGTCTGTTAGCCAGCATGGCCTTAAAATCAAATATTGTCTGACTTTTTATCTAACAATCTTATTTCTTCCCGAACAGCTTTCTCCTGGTGTGATGCTTTTCCAATAAGAGCTAATCAAGTTAGTAAGCTCTGTTCTGTGACTTTAATTAGTTGATTAGTGTTCTCCCACCAACTTGCACGGCTGCCCAAAATTGATGAAATCATTGTCAGTTACACATTTTTGTCTCCTAACAGCATAGTCCTACCATTGAGAAATCAGTATTTCTGATGCTGGAAAAAGAACTGCCATATACATATATGTACATTTTTCAGTTTTTTACTGCAATTTAACACTGTAAAGTTAAATAGTTAATGTGTCCTCCTTTTCACCCTTTTCAAATTGTTCATGTCTATTCAGTTCTCTAGTAACCCTACTCTTAAATATCTAGTTGGTAATATGAAAGAATTGCTTCTGGTTTATCAGTTGCTGCAATAAAAATACTATTTTAGCATTTTTTCTCCATTGCCTTAAGAAAAGATTCTTGCTACTAACTTCTGCAGTCGAATTTCCTGTTTTTAACAATTCAACTAATATACCCCACCATCCATATAAGAATCTCTCTGAAGATTGGTACAGTAGTGGCCTCTAAAAGAAGTGAATAATGGATTTCTGTTTGTACAGCAGAGATAGTTGGCATGATTTGAGACAGGCAGAATCAGTTGTGTATATTTGCATTTTGCATCATTCAATGAATCATTACTGTCTTTTATGGAAGGTAACAAAAGCATTCATCATCAACAAATGTCCCTTTCTCTTGGAGAAAAATTGAATGGTTATTCATCTCTATTTTTAAAAAAAGTTCACCCAGTGTCACACTTTTCACGGATTATTTCATTTATGGGTGTCAGAAGCATGATTTGTGCCAATAAGACAATATCCGATAGTTAATTTTATTTTTAAACAAGTAGTTTGATGTTCTCATAGCTGCCATTCATTGTCTAAAAGCCTGATGTCATGCAGACATGACTGAAAAAAACTGCTTTTGATATCATTCTGTACAAGATGAAGACATGCTTAGTTGTCTCTCATATTTCTGATTGTCTCTCATCTTTTGACTGTAAGATCATGTAATCAGAATGAACTGCAAAAAATTATTTATCCCACCTCCAAATAAAGCAGAAAATCTCCTACTTATATGACTCCAGTTATCTAAATCTTTAATAATCGATCCCTGCATTTTTTATAGTAAAGGGAGTGTTTTCACAAATGTTGAATACTTTCTTCTAAATATTCTAAAATGCCTTAAGGGTTATTCTGCATTGTGAATTAACTTTGAGAATTTACTTCTAATCCTAAAAAAAGGTAATTCCAACTGCATTGAATGACTTGCATTTTCATGTCATTTAATATATCAGTCAAGATTTATTTTACTCAGTGTTAGTCTTACTTTGAGCAAAAACTGTGCATTTTACTATCCTATGTTCCAAAACCTTATGCAATCTAGTGCCCATCAGTTGAGTATCAATTTCTAGAAGGCCATGCTAGTGTATGTCTAAGAATTATGGAGTTAAAATCCAATAGGAAAAAAAACATTTGGACACTATTATACGTAGCAGCTGTTTGGTTAAGTTCTGATGATACTTGTTTTAACCACTAGTTCATGTTGTTATGGACTAGGATTCAATTTATTGAATTCCAAACATTGGTTGGGAAATATAAAAGCTACAGTCCCCACAAAACTAGAGGGCAGGAGGTCATAAACAATTGTAGTTAAGATTGGCAGGTCCTTTGGGTATTTCCTGGAGATACCTGACTAAATAGTTGATAGGTTTTTTTTTTAAGAACACAAGTTTAGTCCTGATGAATTTTGGAATTTATCTAACACAATCCTTACTTGACCTTCCTAACTTAAATTTTACAAACTATTTTATACATGTACATTTTATATTACAAATCTTCAAAATAATAAATAATGGTTTCTAAGTTGGTAGGTACTTTTTATACTTCCTCTTACCCAAGGGATATGAAAATTACTACACATATTATGTATAGCTAAATTTTTATTTTATTTTAATCTTTAGGAAGCTTTAAAGCAATGAGAACAAATGATTTCAAGGATCCATTTGTAATGCAATGGCTGATGATAGCTTTTATCTGTGATGAGGCTGTCTTGTATCTAAACATCCACACTGCCAGCTTTTAGTCTTACACTCACAGGGTAGAAACAATCAGTTTGATCAAACCTAAAAGTGTGAAATGAGAAGTACTGCACTCAAGCTCATCTCATTCAGTCCTTGAATGACACCTTTTTTAGGAAGGCATGATATGATTTGTTAAGTCAGTAAACAGTATCTCCCTCCAAATTGTCTGAAGGAAGTGAATGAAACATTTCTCATTGCTTCATACTCAAACAGCAATTACCCATCTTGTTTGCTGGAGGAAATGTTCATGACATGCTCTAGTGCGTGTTAATTCTATTCCAAATTGTTGGATAATTATCTGTTTCCACGTTTGACACAAGTAGGGATCAGCTTCATGATAATATGAAAAGTCTGACATTTCTTCATGAAGACCAGTGAACAATCTCATTATTTATAGCAGCAAGGTAATGTCAAATTAATAAAACCACATATATTGTGCTATTGGAACTTCAAAGAAAATTGATGCTTTGAACTCTGTGATGAGAGAGGGAAAAATAACATTTTAGGAGTAGGAAAACAAGTGTTTAATATTGAGACAACTATAATAATGTCCAGAGGAGTCTAAAATGTATTCCTCTGATAATACAAGGAAATTGCTTCCACAATTTTTTTTCTGACACTAAAGAACTTGTGTAGGAGGAAATAAATCGGAACATGAGTGTTTATAATCAAAAGAAGCAAAACGGTTTCCAAAAGTTCTCTGTGCATGGAGAAGGATATAGTTTGTATTCATTAAACTTCCCTGCACACAAATATTAAGCACTAAGAGGTACTTAGAATTGCACAATTTTTTAGCATTAGATTATGAAAGTAGATTATAAGTATGATCTTTTTCTCTCCATACAGTTAACCTAATATGTGACTGGAATACAGAAAAATGTTACACATCTCAATCCAGCATGGAGAGGAAATTATAAATATGCAGATAAACCTGCAACCCAAGCACTTAACTCATTCTTTTCATTAACAATGAATACACGTATTAAAGCCTTTCCAAAATTAATATGAATTACTTTATCTAAGCATTACCAGATTACTTTATCTGAGCATCAGAATCGTGATTGGTTAATTGGGGCTTCTATACTGTTTTCTCTCCTAGAACCTCTCCTAGAGCTTTCTCTAAAAGCCAGGTTTTAATAGCTCTCCTAAAACCTAATAAGGGGCCTAGTCTCATCTAACAAACAAGTGGATCATCAGACAAATTAGCCCAGAGTATCACTGAGGCATAAATAACAAGGTTCAAATTGTCCTGTTTTGGATGTGAAGCCATAACTCTGTAGAGAAGATTATAATGCTTAGAAAGGTGGAAGGAGAAAAAAGCAGTTGGAATACCTGGAGGACCATGAGCAGGAGATTATCCAATCTATCTAGTTGCTAGAAGTCAACACCAACTTAATGGCACATAAGCAATCAATCAAAATCAAAATCACATGAAGTGTTAATACTACTTTATAAAGCCTTGGTAATACCATACTTAAAATATTGCATACAGTTTTGGTCACCATGATATAAATAAGATGTTGAGACTCTAGAAAGACTGCAGACAAGAATTACAAAGATGATTAGGGGACTGGAGGCTAAAACATACAAAGAGTGTTTGCTAGAATCAAGTATGTCTAGTTTAATGAAAAGAAGGACTGAAATGACATGATAGCAGTGTTCCAATATCTAAGGGATTGCCACAAAGAAGACCGGGTCAATCTATTGTCCAAGGAATCCTAAGGCAGGACAAGAAGCAATGAATTGAAACTAATTAAGGAAAGAACCAACCTAGAACTAAGAGAAAATTTCCTGATTGTTAGAATGATTAATCAGTGGAATGACTTGCCTCCAGAAATTGTGGGTGCTTCAACATTGGAGATTTCTAAGAAGAGAGTGGACAATCATTTTTTTGAAAATGTACAGAGTTTCCTGCTTGAGCAGGAACATCCCTTCCAACTCTATTATTCTGTTAAATATGAACATCTAATAGTTGGTTAATATGCAGATGTATATCACTATAGTTACTGAGTACAGAAAAATACATTGTAAGCTTATTTTAAGCAGTTTCCTATAATCAGGTCAATGAATCAGTCACGTTTAAAGGATAATTTGGTAGACTGAATTGTATTTCTTTATACTTAAATCAGCATTATTTTTCAAAGAAAATAGCTTGGTTTTAACAGAAGTAAGTTATTGTTCCCATTTATTTAAATACTTACAAATATTTTGTTATGTAGTCATTCTTCAGATGGATATATACTATGTATAGAAAGTCATATTTTAAAAAAACTAAGTAACATTTT